CTTTTTTCATTTCTTTATTTTTATTTATTCAATTGTTCTATTTTCACTTGTATTTTATTTCACTATTATTTCATTTCAGGTTTATTTTGGTTAATATAATTGTTATTTTCAGCTATTCATTTTTAATTATTCTCTTTTAGTCGTTTCAGGGATTTCAAATCATTTTATATAGTAGACAATGGAAGTCCGAACTAGTGAAATTCAGTAATGATTAACTCTAACAATTTGCATTCTTTCTGTAAGATGCCCATCAACACCATATAAACAGAGTTTATGGATCAATAGCTCATGATTAACTTTGTCAAAAGCTTTGTAAAAATCAGTGTACACAGAGTCAACTTGCAAACCCTTAGACAGAGCATCAGACTAAAAATCAAAGTAGGTAATCAGACCCGGCTCAGCTGACTTTTTGTATGTAAATCCGAATTTTTGGGTCTCTATAATTGGGGAGCAGTCATAAGTAAGGTAATCAAAAATGATGTTCTCAAAAACTTTAGAGAGTGCGTTAGGAATAGAGATGGGACGATAATTAAACACGTCGGATTTTCTGCCTGATTTATATATTGGGTGTCATATGGGGTTTTCCAATAGTCGTCGAGCTAAAATGAAGCTAAATGATTTAAGAAAAGTTGGAGGAATTCCCTCAGTACCGGGGCCTTTGTTGATATTAAGTCTCATAAAGTAGTTTCTTCAGCTCAGGGGAGTGCCAGCATGGAAATCTCCTTTCACAGATTTTTGAGATATCTTTAGGAAATGTAATTTTAATGGATTATTTTTATAATTTTTTTATTTTTTTTAAGAACCCTGAATTTCAAATAAATTTTCAATTTCATATATTTTTTTTTCTATTCAAGATCGATCAGAGAAACAAATAAAAATCATAGAAGAATATTTGAAAGCCACGAAACAATTACGCAACTATTCTTCAGAATTACCAGAACCTGTATTTAGTCAGAATGTCGGCCTTGATTTAGCGACGGTAGTGTCATCTGTCAGCGGACCGAAACGGCCTAATGACAGAGTATCCGTATCCAACATGAAGGAAGATTTTCTCAACTGTCTCACGAATAAGGTAAGTGTTTCCCATTAAAGGACTGATTACTTCGTAATTGAAAATGAGTTTACTAGATAAATACACTAACCTCATTTCACCTCTCTGAAATTCACTTGGAATCTTATACAGGGCTTTTCATGATGAGCGTTAATTAGCCGTTTCTGGTAAACTATTCAACGGATCAACCTGAAATTCCGCAGTATGCATAAACCTACACGCCTAAAATATTTCAGACGAAGCGGCGTTGTCGCTTCTACTATAAAGTAGCGGCTTCTTTGATTTTTCAAATGGAACACCCCGTATATAATACCATATTATGATTCATTATCACTCTATCAACAAATTCATATACTATTTTCCTATACCTATATATTACCGTTTAGAAGATATAAATTAATTTCGGTATTTTTTTTACCAAACATGAACTTTTATAAATGCTGATAATCTTGAACTCTCCTGCACTAAAACGATCAAATTTGAAATGGAGGATCTTCACTCCGAGTCATATTTTCATTTGCCTCATACAGGGTCTTTAAAAAATGCAGATNGGAAATAGTATATGAATTTGTTGACAAAGTGATAATGAATCATAATATGATATTATATACGGGGTGTTCCATTTGAAAAATCAAAGAAGCCGCTACTTTATAGTAGAAGCGACAACGCCGCTTCGTCTAAAATATTTTAGGCGTGTAGGTCATATTGACTTATGCATACTGTGGAATTTTCAGGTTGATCCCTTGAATAGTTTGTCAGAAACTGCTAATTAACGCTCATCATGAAAAGCCCTGTATTGAACGTAACTTGCATGTAATATCACCACATGACAATTTCCTCAGCGTTCTGTAGGAACATTACCTTCAATGTTTACAGTGGGATTGTATCATTTGACTTTCTTTTTTTTTTTTTGAACAACCCATTTCCATGTTTCCAATCTAAACGTCAAAATAAAACTATTGAATAAAACTGTCTTAAACAAATTTATTTCCAAAAATACTTTAATAATCATAAACTAATTTATTTATTACAACACATAGCAACTAACGCTTAATTTATTTCCACTATTTGAATTTCTTGTTTAGCTGCTCGATTCACTTTCTGAAAACTGCCCTCTTGGGTCGAGAGGCTGGGCTTATATACTGTAACGGTTGTTTCTAGAAATCTATAGTCGGTTCGGTACTCGACTAGAGTTTTACCGGCGATTCCAGGCTGTATTCTTTTGAGGTGAGGTCATGTGTTTGTTCGATGAGTCGGCTGGCGTATCGATTCAACCGGTCAGGGGCAGCTTCAGATTCATTACAATATACAGGGTGTAACTAAATAAGTGTAAAACAGTCAAGGAGGTGATTCCTCATCGAAAAAAAGATAGGATCTTCCATATAAAGACATTTCATTGGAGCATCCCTTGTTAAGATGTACCCCCTTGTTAAGATGTACCCCCTGGTACATAAAATTTATATAGCAATTTTTTTCACAAGCACTGAAAAAGTTACAATATTGAAATTAACCTGACGTTTTGTACTACCAAAAAGACACTTAGCCAGTAATTTATTTGGTTTACCCCATGGTTATAAGGGGTGGAAAACGCAACCCCTAAAATTTATTTCCAATGTAACTTTTTGTCTTATTATTTGTTTACCATTTAAAAATTTGTTTCCGATAGCCTGTTTCATTCTAAACAAAAAATGTCTCTTGAGTTTTTTGCCCAAAATAAACCAGTTCGCAGCAAAAAATTATTTTACGAACAACTACAAAAATGTATGTCCTGATGAGTTGTTAAAACACGAGTCGAGAAGACTAGAGAAGTTTTTTCGTTGGATGTTACTGAATGAAATGATCTTTTTTCAGAACTTATTATATTTAAAAAAAAATTAATGCTGTGTGAAAGTTGAGATGAATATTTTGGGCAGAAATCGATGGGTTTCCAAAAAATCAATCAACAAATCAAATATACATCGGTGAAGTGCGAAAAAAAATAGATGAAATCAATATAGAAGAAATATGAAAAACTTGAGTATATTTTTTGTAGCAGATTTTGAACACGGGATGATTATCACCCGGTGATGTCATGAAAACAGCATCACTAGCCGGGTCATAACCATCTAATGTTGGCAAATCTATCTTTCAACATAACCTTTCCTTGTTATTGCTAGTCTGCGATCCTTGATGTAATAGTCTTTCTTTATGTGACATACTAACACCCAGTGATGATAAAAATCACATCAGACTGAGTGTAGTTTGTCACGTAAAAAATAACAACGAGCTGATGAACGTCTCCTAATGATGATATCGCATTTCTTCCTGGGAAAACATCCGCCCAGTGATGCATTCAAAAGCACCAAACTGGGTAGTGTTTACCGAGGATAAAACACTTTCGGTTCCTTTCTGGTGGGATCTGAAAGAAAAATATATAGGCTAGTGATAAATCATAAATTCAATGAGCTCAATTGAGGCAACATACATCAAAAGTTATGTCAAAGTGAAGTGTTTATGATAAACTCTGAGGGTGATCCTATAAGTACCCGGCCTGACCTAGAGATGGCGGTAGTTGTTTAAAAAATATCACGGTATTAGAAAGTACACAATCAATAAAGCATATGTTTAGAGTTTGAAGACGCTGCGCTGTTTAGTATTTGTTTGGGAGCCATCAATAGAGAAAGTTTTCGGTGAATTTGTAAAAATGGAGAAAATTGGTCATCGTTATGTGGTACATTACTTTAATTTGAAAGGTCTCGGCCCAACAATAAGAGCTGAACTGGATTCTACTGTAGGTGAGTCTGCTCCTTCGTTTGTAACAGTATAATATTGGGTAGCAGAGTTTAAACGACGCCGTATGAGCTGTAAAGACAGGCTTCGTAGTGGTCGACCAAATGAGGTGACGACTCAAGAAACGGTTAAGAAAATCCACAAAGCAGTACTGAAAGTGGGCGAACTAGTAGACTTAGTAGGCATTTCAAAAAGTGCGGTACATCGTATATTTCCTGATAATTTGGACATGAGGAAGCTGTGTGCAAGATAGGTGCCGCGTTCGCTCACATTGACTATCCGAAAAAAAAAATTGACGCAGAGTATTATGGGAACTTGTTGCAACGTTTAAGTGAAAAAAATAAGCAAAAACTGCTTCAGTTGACTGAGAAAAAAATGCTGTTTCATAAAGACAATGCACCAGCTTATAAATCCAATATCATTATGACCAAAATTAACGAATTAAAGTTTTCTCAGTCAACTGAAGCAAAAACTGCTTCAGTTGACTGAGAAAAAAATGCTGTTTCATCAAGACAATGCACCAGCTTACAAATCCAATATCATTATGACCAAGTTTTAATTGCTACCTCATGCACCCTATTCAGATTTAGCCCTCTTGGATCATTTTCTGTTCCCAAACTTGAAAAAATGGCCTGTGATCAAAGATTTTCCAATGCTGAAGAAGTGATGTCTGCAGTAAACGTCTATTTTGAGGATCAAGACAAGTTTTTATTATAAAAACGGTGTTGAACTCATTGAACGTCGCTGAAAAATGTGTATAGAGCTGCAAGGAGATGATGTTGATAAATAAATACAATTTTTCCAAAATTTTTGTGTTTCTTTTGTTGGGTACTTCTGCGACCACGTATTTTTATTATTCGTTTAAAGAAGAACTTTATTTGGAAATAGGAAACCCTAATATACAAACAACCAACTAAATCAAAAACGAATGTAGATACCAATACGAAAGTAACTGAATTTCATTAGTGCGGACTTCCATTCTCTGGTATTATATAAAATGATTTGAAATACCAGAAAGAACTAATAGAAAAATTAAAAATGAATAGCTGAAAATAATAATTGTATTAAGCAAAACAACCTGAGATGAAATAATAGTGTAATAAAATACAAGTAAAAATAGAACAATAAGATAAAAATAAAACGTTGAGAGATTAGAAGCCAAGTTAATTCACCACGTTTCGATTGATAGTATCCACTATCGTCTTCAGGTGATAGACCGTGCTTTCGGGCTCTATAATACGAAGGAAGGTCTCGAGAAGGAACTAGACATCATAAAAAATGATCTTCAACGGAATGTCTACTCCAAAGCGATGGTAGAAAAGACTTTGGCTAGAAGACAGCAGGAGCCTCGCAAGGAAGAGAAGCCGTCACAACCAGTGCTTGCACTTCCCTACATTCCCTTCCTGACCTGACCTGAAAGACCACTCACCATACAAACGAATCGGCTTCGTTAAGAAGCTGGGTTTATTTGGCCGAGTGTGAATAGGTCTGAGCCACAATAAACCCTTATGGGTTGCGGTGGAGGATCGAATAGACCCACTCACTTTAGACCTACCTACCTAGAGCATTATCGGAAAGGATAAAAAGAATTGGATCCAAGTACATCAGAACCTGCTTCAGATCCGGAAACACTATCCGTAGCAGCCTCACGAAACCAGGCAACCAAACGCGGACTGCCATTCCAAGAATTGCATTTACCGGATACTCTGTGAGTGCAGAAAATCCTGTATCGGTGAAACTAAGAGATACGCAACATACGGAAACCCATAATCGAGCGAAAAATGGCCAACTCTCACCAAACAGTCATCTCCCACTAAACCAGTGAAACGGAAAAAGGAAAGCGAAGATAAGTGAAAGTACTCGAATGGCCCATAAATAGTCATCTCTCAGAGGAATTAGTCCAGACCATCACTCGAAGAAGATTGTAGATACTAACAAACGTCATGAAGTTACTTGGCTTAGAATTTCTCAGCTTCTTAATTTATTGTCCGATTTTTCTATTTTTACTTGTATTTTATTTCACTATTATTTCATTTCAGTTTTTTTCTGCTTAATACAGTTATTATTTTTAGCTATTCATTTTAATTTTTTTTATTAGTTCTTTCAGAGATTCAAATCATTTCATATAATATCAGACAATGGAAGTCCTAACTAATGAAATCCAAATTTCGAGTTTAATGTCGATATTTCGATATATTTTAATCTAACTTCTGGAGTAAATCACTTTCGATACTAAGTGGATCAACCGTTTT